CGATATATGCTGTTGGCCATTGTGAATAGTAGTACTTGGAGTCTTATTCAAGAACTTTTATTTCTCAAATAGTGCCCTTGTGTACTATATAAGAATCAGACTAATTTGGATAAAATATAATAATTAATATAGTTGTATTTTGTGTCTCCAAGAGCTAGGTTATTAGATGGTAAATAATACCGAATCTCTAATAATAAGAAATATTATTTTTAGAGAAAATAAAATGATGGCTAACGATACTAAAGAACAAATAATCTTTTAATAAATTATTTTAATTATATTCTTAGAACATTGAAGGCGAAAGAGTTTTTGGTGAATCATATAAGAAAAATTGGTGGCTTGCAACAGAAAAAACTCTTCCGCCATTGAATAGCTTACTATCAATCATCCTTTATTCTGATGCTACCACATTTGATGGCCTTGGCAAGACTTCTAGACACCCAATATTTCTAAACTTGAAAACTTTCCAAATTGGGTCCAAAATTCACCAAATTCTAAAGTTTTTTTAGGATTTTTGCCCATTATTAATGATACTGAAACTAAACTACTGATGTTCTTCGAAATAAATAATATAAAATATATCACAAATGCTTATACATTATGCTCTGTCCTTTGTTAGAAAAACCTGATGCTTTATATTTTGGAATTAGAGGATGACTAGTTGCCTTTGCTGCACGTATTTTATTCTTTCTTTCAGACATGTTAGAAGCTAATAAAATAATAGCAACATATAAATCAGCATGATATAATATGCCATGCTATACCTGCATAGTTTTGTGAAGTGACTTAAATTAAATAAATCTAAAGTCAGAAAATATACCTCTCAGAATTCTAGAGAATATATAGCAGATTATAAAAGAAAAACGTGGCAAAGACTATTCTATACATAATATAGATAATACTTTTTGGAAGTTTTTGTAAATGCTTAAATTATCACTCTTTTAACAATTCTTCAAAGAACTTACAATAAAAATTTTTTCAAAAACATAAATATTTATAAAGCTTGTATATGCATCATATCGATCTCGGAC